AAAAAAATTGGTCCAACAGTACCATCGGAACTTGCACCGATGTTCATCAGCCCGTATTAAAATCATAAAAGAGGGATTATCGAAAAATATAAATTATTTTAGCCATGGACGCAGATTGATGGAAGGTGTGGAGAGCGCGCATTGCATCAAGGGAAGTTATGGCCCATCAGCACTTGTGAGAAGTAAGACCGTGAACCAATCTGACTGTTGACGCTAGTTCTTTGATGAGTTGTTGAATGGTGAAGTAGTCGTCGAGAACACTTTCTCGTGTTATACCCCAGGAATTTCTCTCAATAGTCATGGCATTTTCCCATTTGTGTCTTTGCAGTATTCCTGGTGAAATCAGTCACATTAGAGAATAATGAGCATGCGCGCAAGAGTCATATAAAGCCTATATCAAGCCATATTTTTACAATCTTATTGGTGAAAATGTGTGCAAATATTTTTTGAATCGCACATACTCATCAGTTTATAATAGCCAATGTGCAGCGACGTCATTTTGTGATTAATTTATTAATAAGTCTGTAAATTTACTGTAAATCCGATTCAATACACCTTTTCAGTTGCTCTTAGGCCTCGACAGCTCGAGCGTGTTAAATATTCTTTTGAATTTTTTCGGAATGTGAGCGATGCAAACATTGATATGAATAGTCTCATTTGTCAAATTCAAAAGAATAATTAACTTGCTATCGAGGCCTAAGTGCAACTGAAAAGGTGTATTTAAATCGTTCCATAGCCGTTTAAAATGTCGAGATTGCGACACACTATAATTAGCATATGGAATTGCCCTATTTTGAGATTGCACACAAAGTAGCGCGATATTGTTTATTTGATTGTAACTTCTTTGCAGTTTTTTTCACCAGCACGAAAGTCACGCATGTCAAAGTGCGTTCACATGACATCTACTATTTTATAAGCACTTTATATGCTATCATTCATGTTTCGCGTAAAAATCAAATACTGTCAAAATACAATCCCGGACAAAACAGTTGAGACATTTCTTAAAATAGGCTGAATTTCGATGATCTTCTGCGTATTTCCGTGCAAATCTCCCCTTTCCCCCTCAAATCAATGTTGAAAGGACTGAACAATCATACACACATTTCTAGCATAACGTCACACACACAGCATTGTTTTGTGGGGGGAGGGGAGGATCAAAATCAGTGATTTAGAGATACGAGAAATGGGATATTTTGCAGTGAAAAAATGCCAGTGTCTCAACTAGTCTCAACTAGTTTCCGGGATTGTAGTTATTGATGGGTGTAAAATCATTTATCATCGTCTTGCCGTATGAAAGGATAAAGTTGTGTTATACACCGCGCCCACCCCGCAGGCAATATCATGTTGCTCATATATGAGTTTTGAAGGCCACAGTGGTGGTTGTTGCTATGAGACCTGATTGCTAGGATCAACGCACTTAATATTTATTTAGCGGGAAAATTCTTCGTTTCGATGAGACTTTTTTTACACCTTTGTATCACACTCATTAAAAATCACTTTCGCAAGTCGAATTGAATAACCATTTATAACCAATAAATGTCCTAAAAGTGGCCGTCTTTCCATCTATTATCGATGAATTTTTCGCGGATTTTACAGTGTTTTGCAACGTTATCAAATTCCCCTAGCAACTTGTATTGGTAACATATCAGAACACCCTTAATCAATGTTCAATGAAACTAATGGTTTGTCTTTATTTAGCAGTAATGAATTATTTATTATGAGTTATAGCTTACAAGAGCCTCCCATAAAATGGAAATGGAAAAGTTGTGGCAAGAAATACAGTCGTCATCATTATTATTACGTGGGCTTCCTGTGGAAGTCCACGTCTAAAAATGCAACTGGCTTTTGGTTAGTTAGTTAGTTAGTTAGGCGGGTGACTCCGAGATTTGACAATGGCACTCCAAACGACCCTGTCTTCCATTTTGGTGGTGGTGAATATTACGCTTCAAATTGGTAGCGCCTGCGTTGCAGATGGTCTGCAGTCTTAGAATGAAAACAAAATGGCGGACAGACGGCGGCAAAAAGTTGTCTCGTTTTAAATGGTTCTAAAATGTAGCTAAAATGCTCNCATCCACCCCTCCCCCATATGAATTATGAATTAATCAAACAATCATCATTTCAATCAAGTCTTTGTCATTTATTTGACATTTCTTTCGAAATTGATTCTTTCAGCAGGTTTCTTGCTCTAGAAATGAGGGCAAGTTTCAACTTGTTGTCCAGGGACGTAATCCGATAGATTACAGAAACCTCGTGTTTACGTAAAGAATCCGATTAGTCTCATCTAATATCACTTTTCTAAATAATTTTCTCCTTTGCAGTCAGAAACATAACATATCATGTCACGGTACCGTAAGGATTGTCCCTTACCTGGCTGCGGAGCGATTGCATTAGTAAAATTATCAAATCATTTAAGTCAAGTCCACCAACTTTCACCAGAAGAACGCAAGCCTTACTTACAACAAGCAAAACTTCGAAAGTATAGAATATCAAAACCATTACGTAAACGTTGGATACCTTTTACGGAAAATATTCATAAAATTTAACCAAGCCTGCTATTATAATGCTATAAAAGGGGGACAATTGCTAATCTCGGCACACACATTTTAAGCAAGACTGCTAAAGGTGAAAGAACAACTAAACTTCTATATTGTACGGCAATACATCATGTCTTATTCTGGAGATGAACAGTTGAATTCAGAAGCCAGTCACGTCAAAAATCAATCTTCGACCGATGATGAAAGTGACAGCATGTCTGATTCTCAAGGATCAGATGAATCTGACTCCTCGCAAGTGAGCAGTGACGAAGACGATGACGATGACAGCGGCAAYTGGGAACGAATTCAAGATGAAGCAAGAGAGCGTCACAAAAACAAATTTGAAACACTAGTTCGTCATTATGAGCAAGAAGGGGAGAGTCACGAGGTTGCTGAAGCTAAAGCAGAAAATGATTTACTCCCAACATACAGAAAAGAGTTTCGTAAAGTACTGTTTGAGTATCTTAAGTGGATACATGATTTAAGGAAAAACTACATTTTTCGCCAAATTATGAAAACAAAGCAAGATTTAATGGATGTGGATGGGTTTCAATGGGAAGAGGCAATGGAGGCAGCTATTCACAAACGAAAGTTTATGCTCAATAAACTATTTCAACATATTGAAATACCCGACAATGTTGATGTTGAAATGTAAATTTTTAATTGAAAAGATTTTGAATAAAACTATTCAGTGTTTCAGTTGAGTTGTTATCAAATTTATTTTGTTTTTCCGTTAGTGCATTTTGTGTCTCAGCGCGTTGTTTTCCCGTAAACTATAATATCGGAATTTCGTGTCCACGCGTGTTGAACATGCTTATACATTGAAATCAAATTAACATGTCTTTAGAAAGATCCCTCTTGTCCCACCTGTCCCGTGTGTCCCCGCTTTGTTCCCTTTCTTCCCTCGTGTCCTTCGATTATTCCCGACTGTCCCCCTTCTTAGCCTTTTCGTCCCCCTTTAAAAGCAATATGTAGGGGGACAAATGGGCTAAGAAGGGGGACAGACGAAACGCGTTAGAAATTAAAAAGTTTTACAACTACTCAAAGAGTTCTCCTTGGTGCTGCTCACTAGTCTAAGTTAAAAAAAAAAAAAAGCGCTAATCGCATGGTCCCCAAATTATTTACGTAATAATAACATTAGTCACGACGTTGTTATATACACGTCCCTTTAAACAGCATATGTAAGCTTTTAGTCACTTCCTTAGGAAGTTGTAAATCACGTTTACATTATTATATATTGCTGTACTATAGTTGTAAAAATCATTCCCTGAAGAAGTCTCCGTTAAGAGACGAAACGCGTTGGAAATTAAAAAGTTTTACAACTACTCAAAGAGTTCTCCTTCGTGCTGCTCACTAGTCTAAGTTAAAAAAAATTGTATTAGTATACCTAGAAGACGCCACTAATGGGAGACACAAGCCGAAGCGGTCCAAAGGAGAAAAATAAGCCACTCTCGCTTAAAACAAAAAGCAGAGAATCCTCCTTGGAAAGACAGTCACTAGCACGATCGGTTCACTTCTCTGAGCACCGTGATTGTGATGATTCNAATATAAAACAACCACGWTTACAGACATGAAAATATTCCTCCTTTTCAGAGAAATGTCAAGCGCTGAGCTTGATCGGCGGTTTCAAAATCGGGGAAATATACGATGCCCGGCACTCATAATTTTGAACTGAAAACAACTAACACTCTATGCTTTGCTTCTGGATCGCTTGGAAAGCGCTTAATATGTTTCAAGAACGAAAGAGTGTTCATTTCTGGATTCGTAGTCGTTTCATTTCWTGAAATTAGAAAAGCGCTTGAAAGGAAGAATATTTTCAGTCATGTGTTTGCTTTATCGTACTTACTACGAGAAGTTTAGACTGCCGGGCATAGAGAACTTTGCCTCAAATGACTAATGGCTGTTTTGCGTATTTTGTGCCGAGGTCAAAAGAATTTGCTGAAATTCCATCGATGTTAAATAAGATTTTTGGAGTTGACTCGCGATAAAATCCACTGTCAAGCTTYGATAACAACRAATGCCTTGTCCTGGGATGACGTCAGAGTCAGTCCCAGTCTTTCCCGGCATTGAACCCAAAAAAAGAGCTCAAAGTGGACATTTTCCTATGTTTGCAAGCTCACCAAAAGTTCGCTTTTTTTATAAAAATGAAGAATTCTTTCACAGATACGTTTCCATTAAACTCAATTTTCATTTTAAAGATTAAAAAAAAAAAATCGTGAAGGTGCACTTTAAATTGGCCATTATCAAAGTTGAAGTGACATTTTAAATGCTCAACAACATATCCACACGCCTAGACACCTTACTTTTACWTTTAGGACTATTTCCCGAGTTATTTCTTTAATGATCTTTTGATGTTACATGAACATTGCTATTAATAAAAGATCAGTTTGCTCTTTTGTTTTTTTTACATTTGTTACCCTAAAACTAGCAATGATTGCTGCCATAACTGTGTCTGTAGTCTTGAACTTGCTCTTTATCAGTTTGTAGGCTCGGTGTTGGTGCGTTCTTGTGTTGTATGCCTTGAAGGAAGGTTGAGCAACACTGACAAGGAGAAGGTAGAAATGCATCTAAAGCCTCTGCGATTAGGAGAAATTACAATTAAGGACCTTCGTGGACATTGGACTCCGTGATGTCACTTCGATGAATTTTTTTGCGGAAATACGTGGTCACATTAACTTTCAAAAAAGCGATAAAAAAGTGGAGGTCACCGGCTTCATTTTAAAATAATTCTTGCACAAAATCTCAAAATTTGTCAAAGAAAAGCGCGCGAAAAGGGGTCGATGNTGTCCACTTCTGGTTAAGAAACAACTGTCTCTTTTCATGGCCAGTCAGTCCTTCATTCGATGGAATATCGGGAAACGTGACAGCAGCGGTGCCAAGAGAGCTTATTGACTCTCGATCGTCTCGTTCTAGTCTGGGAACCTTACTAGTAAGCTTGTTCGCTTTAGAAAGCTGGAAGTTTTTTGTCGTTTTTTTCCCTGTTTTGTCGATCAATGTAGCTTTGAAAGTAAAAGGTTTTAACCGTGTTCTCTTCATGATTGTGTGATAAAGCAAAACAAGATCTATCAGTTTTCAAAGGTCTCTGTATTATTGCTCTGTGACAGTACTTTTGCCGCTTTAGTGATTTATGGTCCGTGATTGGTCGAAAATAACAATACGTCATTTTGCACGGAAGAGATTGCTGGGAATATATTCTGGTGTGGGTTGAACCCACTAGAGTAAATTTACTCTAGTGGGTTGAGCCCATTTAATCCATGTTAACCGGGTGACGCATCAATAGTCACATACAAAGGAATCGAGACGAAGCGCCGTGCTAAAGACAATAGATTTTTCACAAAAATCGCACGGCGCCTCGTCTTGATTCCTTTGTATGTGACTATTGATGCGTAATTCGCAAGTCGGCTATTGATCCAAATATTTCCACAAAAGCTGAGGTCGATTATATGCACTTAATGACTGTTCCCAAKGGAAAC